AGCGACAAAACTTTTCTCCATATAAAGAATGCAATGGTGGTTTCCTAACTTGACCCGCGTGGTCAGGTTAGAGCGCTAGGATTTCACAATACATTGTAGTTGTCACAGTGAATTCTGGAAACGTTAAAGAACATGTCAAATGAATGACTGAGACTTGTTCCAATCATACAATATCCACAATATCTGTTATTGTAACTCAAGTCACATGACTTGTTTTTTCGATGATTCAATTGGCATCTAAATTTTGTTCAACATATATAGCTATTTACGCTACAAAACCAAAATATATAGAATTTAAACAGATATTCATGATGGAACTTTAAGTAATGTCATTTTAGCGTGATTTGAGCACATAAGATAATTTTAATATTTTGTCATTATTTTGCCTGAATATCCCTTTAAAGTACACTATGCCTAAGAAACGAATAAATCTTTTCTAATTTAGAAATGGGAACAGTTTAAAAACGTTTAAATGATGTTTTAAGGGATCCGTTTTTTTTCTATTTTAGGGCATGTTAGATTCTTATTACCTGAAAAAGTATCACTGACTGTGAAATAAGTAAAATAATAAATAAATATTTAGATGTGTTAGAAATAATGCTATAGTTTTCTTATTATCTTATTTAAAAGTGTATAGTATAGACTTAAGACTTTAGAAATTTATTTCAAAAACAAAATATGCTTAATCGTTTGTATAAAAGGTTTTTAAATAATAATTTGGTTAGAATCGAAATAAGTGGTTTTGGTAGTTTACCCTCCGAATCATGACCGAAAGCCACTTTGAATTCACCAGGGCATAGTTCAGCCTCGGCATCGTACCTAGGCAGACTGTCAAGCAGTTTATTAGTTCTACGCTTTCATTTTCGCAAGGAAGTGATATAACTTTTGCCAGAGGTATTGTGCAAATGAACATAGAAAGGGTTTCCTGATCAATCGGAATGACAATGACCTACACCGTCCGGGAATCGAACCTGGGTCGACCCGATATACAGTCCTACGCTTTACTTAATGCCCGGTCGCCCAATTTACGGTTCAACGCTCTACCTATTGATCTAACCGGACGGATGTGAAATATAGTTGTACATTAACTACATTTAAACAAGTGTTTTATATGTTATATACACGTAATAATTGTCCAATGAAAATGTACTCAGTATGTACTTAGATGTCTGGTGATTATTTCATAGCACATCTAGAGAGTGTTCTTGTAATGAATTAATTTATCTAAGAAAAATCAAATAACACCTTTGACAAATGAACATGTACTAATAAAGATTAATAGTCTGACACTTGTTGTGATATATCAAGATAGTGATAGTAATTTAGATATGAACAAAAAACGGATTAATTTGTTTTACGATTTAGTTTTGCGATTGCAAAAATGTTTAGGTGCATATCAACTTAAAAGATAGACGCGCTCACTATTAACTTAGTGTCTGTATATACTTTTTATGTAATTGTATATAATGCTTATGATTTTCTCTTATATTTTTTCTGTCTTGACAGTATAGTTGAAAACATTTTCATCATGTCACTCTTTACACCTTAATTTAACATTTTAATGAAAGAGATATTTATAACGTTTGTTCACGCTTTCCATGGAAAAAATCAACAATAAAAAATAATACAATACGACAGTGATCAAATTATTTTCTTAATGTTTCTTATTGTGTCTTATTTGTATAAACATATTGAAGACAATTCATTTATATGATCACATTAAAAGTTTTCTTGCAGGAAATTTGTTAATATGAACTGTTTTCTTATAATTGGGATGGCAATTGATGATAAAAAACAAAATAGAAATTTTTTTTTTTTTTATTTCAATTTGACCATTTTGATAAGAGAAGTGAAATAATTAGCTGTTAAGAATTTTCTTCTTCGTTTATTGTAATTTTAACATATTGCCTGGCAACAATATGTCATTTTCATAGAAATTAGATATAATTGCTTTATGACAAGGACAGTTTAAACCTACATAAATATTTTCTTATTAACAATATATGATGAGAATTCTTATTTATGTATGTGTCAGAAAACACAAATATAAGACATAAAATAACGGCATAATCTGATGGAAGTTTGCATGTTACCACCCCTTTGGGACCGCTGTGAGTAGTTTTTGTATTATATTTTCGAGTTCAACAAGAGGACATTGGGTTCTTTTTTCTCCAGCAAATATCATGTCAGTGTCCGTATTGTTAAACATCATTGGAGCATGTTTTATTTCAAATGCAAGATCTTCAATAATGCACAGCAAGTAAGAGACAATGGAAACAAGGACAATACTTCAACAATAAATTGGTGTATTGAATACTAGACTATTGTATTAATAGCTTGAAATATAATTTGAGTGTTTATTATAACTTAGGTTTAAGACGAGTTTATGTTTGCTTATTGATGATTTTTCTTCCTCTTCTTCACTTGTTTGAATTATCATTATTCATTGACAAGTATGAGGTACACAGGACAGAACAGATTTTTTCATTAGATAAAACACAATCAATTTTTGTGTTGCATGTAACAGAGTATCGGCGACATATAGAGATCACTTCTTCGTCGTTGTCTGTCTGTCCGTCTGTCACAAAACTTGTCCGGACTACCCTCAACAACTACCAATGCGATTTCTTCTAAACTTTAGGAATTATCAGTAACATGTTTTGTTGTGTATATTGTCAGCAATCTCCAGTCAGAGTTATTTAGGCCCTTTAATTATTTTATTTCTTAATGATTGTCCGGACAATTTCTCTTATGCCACTAATGCTATTTGAAAGAGACTACAGGATTGATCGATACTTCAAGTTCATGTGCATTTTATACGGGTGTTGAATTAGTTTTGACTGAGTTATGGCCCTTGTATGGAAAATGCGTTTTGATCCGTTAATGATTTTTGTGTCGCGACGACTTAGTTGGATCACTTCTCCATCGTTTGTCTCTCAGTTAGTAAACCTTGCTGAGTTAAAAAAAAGCGTTGTGATGTCTTATTAATAATTTTGTGTCTCCTGCTACACAGTACCTGCAATGAATGTGATCTAATCTGGCAAAAAAAAAAAGAAAAAAAAGTTAATCTTTAAAGGTTCAGTTAAGTGGTATTTGAAGGTGATTTGAGCATATGAAGAAAAAAAAATGAAGAAATGATTCATTATTTTCGCAAAGTTGATTAACTTTAAAACGTTGAAATGACCGCTTAAGAAACAAAGATCCTAAGTGACTATTATATTATTATATAAATGTGTTAATTTTATAGCAAAATAGATATATTTTGTAGCAAAATAGATATATTTTGTTGAAATATAAATGTAAACATTGTAATCTTTAGTTTCATAGACTTTTTTTTACATATTTTACCTTGGTAAAGAGCTATCACTTCAATTTACTCGCCTGTTATTTGATAGAAATCGGAAGAATATTAACTTTTAAGATTGTAGAAAATGGCCAAGAATGTTAAGAAATATTTTCGACCATGATTAATCAAGATATATTTTTGTCTGTATATTACAACCAGAGAAACTCTTAAACACGTTTTAGATGTTTATCATCATGAATATGTCTCAAGAAGATATCCTAGACAGAAGAAACCTGATCAATATTTATACATTCATATAAAATATCTGAAAAAAGACAACACATATTTTTAAACGTTTTTTCCCCCAAAATATGATAACAAAATTTTACTCCTGATGCCTAACAGACTTCAAAAGATTAAAATATACAAATTGTATTTTACTAAATATAAATAATATAAATATAAAGTTATATCTGGCTAAATGTACGCAACAAGAACAAAATACAGATTCCGAAAGAATATATTTATTCCATTCTTTCAGTTCTTCGTATTTTTCAAATAGAAGAGGCATGGGTTAGTATGTGAAAAGTTAGTTAGTTTAGATAATACTTTTGTGAGCAGATCATAACCAATATGACCAGCTTCTGAGTGAAAGTATACTATTATTTCCAATTATTCATACTTAAAGAGATTTACAAATACTAACGATTACAAATATGTAACGATGAGGATGAACAACATTTATCAGTCTGGCGATTATTTGATAGTATTGACCATTAACCGAGAACCAGGGAATTCTTTTTCCTAATGAATCAATCTTTCTATGTATAACAAATTGTTCTCTCAATGAGTGAACAAATACTTACATAGATTAACAGTCTGATATCATGTTCCATAAATCAGTATTACAAACACGATCCAGATATATGGGTGCTCAGAAAGGGTAAAAATGAATGAATTTGTTTGATTTTTAAGCTATATATGGTCTTGGACTTTTTAAAAACGACATAGATAAAATGATGCGCACCCTTTTTATGGTTGCTATTGTTGTATTATTGTATTTATCTACACCACATAAATTCAGGGAGGGGGCTTTTTTGGAATCATTGTCGCGGCAGTCACTCCGTTGGTCATCCTGTCTCTAAATAATTAATTTGATAATTTGAATTAAAAAAAAGTTGTTTTGAGACTAAATCGATTATTATTTCATTGTTTTATTAAGGTCATTAATATGATAACTTAACTTGATTTATAGCTGCTCGGCCCAAGGTTCTTAAAAAGAAATCGATATATGATGAGATACTTATACATTAAATGCTTATTTTTTTGTAACATATATATTTCCTTTCTCATAACAGACGAATAAGATATGCTTAAAGAATAAATTCTTTAATGTATGCTTGATTTCACTGCTTTTATATACTATACATGTACCCATATTTTAGTCAAGACACTTAAATGCACTTGAACCCCACATAACTTACGATATAACCTTTTAATCACCATGCTTTTATAGCTTACATATTTAATTCTTTTAGCTTTCTTTCATACATTTATTTTTTTACACGAACTGAGATTTATTAAAAGATAATATTATTGGTATTTTATGCTTTGGTGTTGGTTTTGTTGTAGTTATTTCATTGTATTTTTTTCTGTTTCCTCCAGCACTTCTGTCGTTTAATTATTTTTACCTTTGTTTATGTCATTTTTACAGGACTAATTTGGTACATTTGATGGAATCTGCTGTAAGGGGAACAAAAATGCACCAAACGCATTCAATACGGTAAATTGCTCAATGCTTATGAAGAAACAGTTGAAGAGATCTATGGTAAAATGAGAACGATATATATAATGAATCGTTTGATGAAAAAACTTAATAGTTATTGTTGGTTGAAAGTTTTGCCAATAATACACTGCAAATGACAAGGAAGTACCACTTATCCAATCACACAGACAACGTTACAAAGATGAACAAATGTTTTCTGATTGGTTTCAATGAACATTTTGAATGTTCTTAATCCACCATAACAAATATAGACGAATATTAATAAGAAGAAAAGGAATTAAAAGAACAACAAATACAGTTACAGCAAAAACAATGGCAACAAGAAGACAGAGTACTGTATTAAAATAATTGAATTATTCAAAGAAAAATAGAAAGACTGAAATTGTATTAGATTTCATGTCATGCAGGGACATTCATTACCAACATGTAAAGTTATTTTAAATAAAAAAGATTTTAAGTCATTTTTTAATAAATGGGGTTCTAAATGATTTGATAAAAGTAAAAAATTTGCCACTTCTGTGCATTGTAAAAACATTAAAGTTATTTCAATAGATAGTATAAATAATATACACTTTTTCCAGTTTAACTACTAAACCAGTCATCAAAAGAGAAATTCTTTGAAGTGACAGTCATGGTCTCTGAATGTCTACAAACGATATCATATTTATTACAGTGTGAAGCTAAGTTGTGTCTGACAGTGGTAATTAGCACCAGGGGAATTCTTGGAGACTGTCTGATTTAAATCTCGACGTGGTTATAACTGCAGGATCTAAAACCCCTTTCAGAAGGACAACACACCATGAGGGAATTCGGACAGACATCGAAATGCAAGAGGAATAATGGTTATAATAACTCTCAATGAGACTTGAAAAAGATGTTTTTTTCTGATTAGAGTCTATACACTTATAAAACAAGTGATAAAGAATGGAATATAATTTTGTTGGTGTGAACTGTTTGAAGCATGTTTAATTTTGCATGACATATATTTTTATTATAATGCTTATATTGCGATTCTGCATGTTTAAATGCATTGCACAATTTAGTGTTCATGATTTGTTATGTCTTCGTCTTGTTTTCGCTTTTTAGTGTACACCAGTTTTCATTTTCCTCTGCACGTAACCTGTTTAACTTAATTTACCCTTATTTCCTTATTAGCATTTTTTTATTGAGTTCATAATTAGTTTTAATGGTTCTTCATATTAATATGTATGAACATTAAATGTTTTAGCATAACTATAAAACAACTAACATGCTTATCACATCATTATAAATATGTATCTTGTAAATATTCATAGCGGAAGGATAACCATTGATACATTACACAGTCATGCAATCCCTAGACCTGTTTAAGAGAATAAATATTGACCATCAAATATGAAAACAGATGTTTTATATAGATTATTCATTTCTGAATGATTTAAAAATTGTTTCATGTTTTTGATGTATGTGCAGGGTCTGTTAAATATAATTTATCACATAGCTCATACTTAAATCGTTATGAATTTGTTACAAACATACGTATGCGCATAAAAAATTTGTAGAAAGTCAAATATAACTGGGTGTTAATCTGATAGCTTAATTTTCAGGTTCATTTCCTTGACAATAGATTCAGTGATTTAAATGAAACTTTTATAATTAGATATATTTAAAGACGTTTACAGAAATATAAATGTTAACGTTATACAATCAAGTAGCTAAGAGCTGTAACCCTATTTCAAAAATATGTTGCTACTTTGGTGGAAGATGATGTTTTAGATCAATCAGTTATAAAGAAACCATTGCTGAAACCCAGAGACCCTTTACAATGTTGTTGGAAATAAAACCATGAACAGTTTAAGGAAATAATATTCAAATATGCATTGCTTGTATTAACAGTAAAGATTGTGCCATTGTACAGAATTGACATTAAAATATAGATCCATTTACGAAAATTTAAGATATAAGGTCACAGAAAAAACTGTGTCAGATATCGTATAAATGGAAATCCATCTTATAAACTACTGATTAACTGCTGTCAGTACTCTCTGACATTCAATCAGATAAAACGTTGTTAATATTATTTATGACTTTATTTATCGTAACTTGTCATGTAAACATCCATAACAGCGGCTCACATGAGCAGCAACACCAGTAAATTCGGGCATAAATATTAACAAGTCGTTTTAATCTTGCTCACGTGCTTTTACGAATGCATTTTAACTGATAGAAATTAGTATTTAAGATATCGCTTTAGATCACGCATGCAAACGTAAATAAAATAATTTAAAAAATTTTCATTATGTATTTTACAAATATTAATCAATGGAATGGCTGCAACTGTAATCATGCTTAAGTAGATTAGAAATACAATAAAATAATGATAGCATATTTGTCTATTATTTGATCATTCACACAAGTGTAACCCAAGACCGCCAGATGTTCCAAAACTAATTATATGTTAGTAAATTAGTAAGAGACAAGATGACGACATTTTCTTTTATATTGTCCATTTACTATTCTTTTTTGTCGGCAATGATGTCATTATCACGTCATTCAAAAATACTCTTTAGCGTAATGCAAACTTTAAGCATGCCAACAAGATTTCACATTTTGGCTTATACTTCAATAGCTCAACGACATAATTTCCGTCTTTCAAGGCGGATGCACCTAGAAATCGATGCTGAATTTAAAAATTACTCTTTGGACATTATGAAAACAAAGGCTAAGAAGAGTTTGAACATTCTGATAAAACTTTGATATTACTTGTTATACTCGGTATGCATAACATAACAAATAATTCAACTATAATTCCATATTTTCATATTCCATTATTGTATTAGTATTATTGTAGAGTGTTGAGTTTATGCGTATTTTGCATTGTAAAGACCTACGATACATTATTTGGTTAACAGCATTGCTTTTTTTCCTTATTATCAAGTTTGTTAATTTTCTTTATTTATTTTAAGTATTTAAGTATGATCTGTTCTTCGATGCTTCGAAAAAAAAGCCCTTGACAAAGTAGCTGGTGGATTGACCGTTTTTCATTTGTTGATGATGTATTGAGGTCGGGAGTTCAAAATCATTGGTCTGTCAAAATCTAATCGAAACATTCATTGTGCGTTGCAAATTAAGATACAAAAGATAATAACTTATATATTCTGACAAGAAACACTCGTTTTCTTCAAGACAGTTTCCTTTCGACCTGTCCAGTGCCTTTTCTTTTTTGCTGAAAAATAGTTTCATAAACATATAATAATGTATATTGCATTGATACACCTTAAAACAAAATAAATAAATAAATGAGTTTTTTAAAGCTCTTTTGTAATAACATCCAAAGTAATAATGCTATGTTCTTCGAAAAGTAAGGTTTTTTCACAATGAACACCCGTAGCCTAGTTTTCCTTTCAATTCTACAACAAACATGAATTTAATTAAAGCGATGTCTACCATAAAGAAACACACGCTGTTGCCTTCGGAAATGATGTCATAAATTGTAATCATAATCGAATTAATCCTCCCAGAAGTGGGTTGACTGCTGAGAGTTTTAGGTTGGTTCCCTTCTTCCCTTAATGCATATGTTAGGTTATTTACAGGTTAATGATGACATTTTTATCCCTATGTTCCAAATTGTAATTTGTGGAATTTCTTATTGCTCCATTAAATACCTCGTCACTTGTCCTTACAATTTATATCTTCACCTTATTGGCATGTTTATGTCATACATTTCTTTCATGTTCTCATTAATATTTCTATGATTTATTGTTGTTATTATTATTATTCACAGTAATAGAAATGGACACCCCCGTCTTGCTCTGCCCTTGGTGTCCTCTCTAGTTTTTATTTGGTCACCATACAATACATACATATACTTTGTGGCTCGGTTTTGTTGGGAGATGTGTTCAGTGAACGTCTTCTCATTATGAAACATATTCCATTATTTGTATATGCTGAAATGTGTTTATTATATCTCTTTCATGGGACAGTTAAACAATTCTCCGACAAGAAAGCTGTCAAAATGATGTCCTTCATCGTTTTTACTGAGGTCGAGAGTTCATTGCCATTTCTTTTGTCAAGTAGTAATAGAAGTATTGTTTATTTATTTCCAAATGAATATCTGTATATTTACTGTATATTCATAAAAACCCGAATAAACAACCAGATAAACTGGAACAATTTTCTTGCATTGATCCTTATATGGTAGAAAGACATGCTCACATTTTATTCCTTTTATTAAAGTACACTTATTTGACTTATCCCTTTTTAGATCTATAGATAAACAAGTTATATGACAACTACATATAATGAGCAAAAAAGGAGGAAAGATAAATAATATGATAAAAGAACAACAATCAAAACGCCAAAAAGAAAATTCTTTAAAAAACAAAACAAAACACACAACTACATGCCACTATAAGAATGATTAATGGCGCTTCGTTTTGACAGTATAGAAGATAAACGAACGGCGACTCTAACTAATGACTTGTGATTACCTTGACGAACAATCAGTCCTCCCCAATTCACATTTTCCTGTTAAACATCAAAGCACTGCATCAGTTGATCAGTCTGCATTTAATGTGATAATAAATTTTCTTTGGACATTAATAAACAACTAAAAAATATTAAAGCAGAACGGTATGAGCCACAGACTTAATGTCTAAATGAAACTGTTCAGATGAATTGATTACTTACTTTACATACAAAGGGTACATATTTGGCTTTATTATTTGTATGTTGAATAATGTAAATCTAGCATGGTTCAAAACAGTTCAATTGCTTTATAAGTATGGCATTCTATTTATAGTTTTATTAGAAATTCGGTTTATTATTTTTTTAATACTCTTGTGTTATGGAAAATATTTTGATAGTATTCTAAACTTTAAAAGTTAAAAGTTTCACTGAATGTTTCAAGAATAACTTGTTTACAGTACTCATATATTTTCTGTTACAGGGGATTCCCAGTTCGCTCATGAATGTATTTAATATTCTTTCTTAATCGGCGGACTTTATTTATTTGTAAAGATAGATTATTGATTTTTGTCTATTCCGAAATGGTAGTATGAAATCTTTCATTTTTGCCATTTTCATAATTAAAAAGGGTAGTGAGAGTGAAGTGTTTTAATACTTGGAATGCATTTTTGCATGTTTTTAATCTTTCCTGTATCTTTGAATGCATGTGTCTGATACTTTCAATGACACATTATTATAAATTATGAACCATTTAATATCGAATATTTTAAACTTTGTTTTTTTTTACCATAAACACATGTAAGTGTACTTTTGTTGGCACGTCATTTGTGCCCATTCCTATTCATAAATCACCCTTTTAAAAACATTGATTTAATTATGTTGGTTATTATCCTTCTTCTTCTTCTTCTTCTTATTATTATTATTATTATAACACGATACCTAAAAGGTTTACTTCGTTTTTCTTAACATGTGTATAGAAAGATGCATGTCGTGATTATTATTCATTAACGATGCTTTTTATATAATTGCATGTATCCAGTTAAAAATGGAAACATTGTTTCCAATTATTGTTGAATTCAATGCTTTTAAAAATCGTCAAATAATACGTTTTTGTCATACTAGTAATGTGTTAAGTATTAAGTGACTTTTTTATTAAATTTTATTACTTAATTAGAATTGTTGCTTTCCTTCGGTTGTTTTTGAATTGCAAATATATTTTCTAAAAAATGTACGGGACAATGAAACGGGCTACGGAATGCAAATCCTAACAATCTTTTCACTATGTTTAAGGTTAAACATCTAGAATTCAAACTGGCATTATATTAATTTAATGGAAAAGTTTGAATAAGTTCAGTCACATTTCTTTAAATGACACCAGAACTTGTTAGTTCCAGAAAGCTGACTCAAATACTGCAGGAACTTCTTCACTGTCGAAATTTTATAATACATTGAAACTATTTATATCGAAATACTACTTTCATGCTATCGTTTTTCAGAGAAGTAAAAATCATTATGTCTACTGTTATCGTCATTTCTCTAAAACATTGAATAATGAATACCGTCGCAATCAGGACATCTTCGTGTAAAGCAACCAATCTCTGGAGAAAAAACCTTTAAAATATTTAATTGCATTCGTATTTGAAACCATAAAATTAAAAATAAATCCACAGACAGGTTTTAGTAGCATAAAACATATCTCGCAAATGCATCTTTTATGATCCGTAATAACATAAAATTGTCTTTGTGACCTACTTTTCTGGCCTGGAATTAAATCATATACGACAAGTATCACGCAGCGATTAGATTACGTATTAAAGTGACTTTGCCCATAACTTGAGAAATTCATTTTTTATCCTGACTTGACAGATATTTTGATATTACTTTGTCTTTTTATCGAATTAGTCAAAGCTTTCATCAAATTAAATGCTCTCAAAAGTTGACATATTAAATGGACTGTAGAATTTTAAAAGTATTTCCGAAGACAAAGCGACAAACACAACAATAATTAACAAGTAAGTGCAAACTCCAACCTTTTTTTTTGTAAAAAAGACGGAATGCAAAAAAAGGATTTTCTTTTCCTATTTCGTTTTTAAATTATAATCGGTAAAAAATACAATTCAATTTCAATTTCAATTTATTTACAAAATGCACAAGTCCCACAATAGCGGGAAACATCAGCAGTATACATACATAAACATATACAAATACATAATGGAAAACGGCTATATTACATTAAAAATTTTTTGGATAATAGTAATATATAGTTACAATTTGGTGAGCAAAAATATATATTATAGTAAAATATTTAGTATGACTAATGGATCAAATAGAATGTTTACACCTTTCATAATAACCTGAACAAAACGAAACGAAAGCCTATCGAAAAAAACAAACACGAAAGATATCCAGGTTATAAATAGGTTCTAACAATTTAACATTCATTTCAGTATCAATTGTTTGTAATGAAACAGAAAGTTTCATATTTGAATCTTAGATTTGCTTGAGAGAAAAATAAAATGTGCGAAACGTACTTATAGCATAAAGATTGTAATTTAATACTTAATGTAAAAGTGTGAAATTATATATATTATACATATAGCCGAGATGACATAGTATTTCAAATATCTTAAGATATTATACTTTTCAAATTTCAACAAAGGTGATTGATTACATGTTGCATAATTTCAACCTTTTTAAGAAAGATAGAGAGAGACTTATATTAAGTACGTATAACAAAGAAACAAATTTTCTTTTAAATAATTCAAATGCCAAATAAATAAATATATTTATATGCTTTAGTCAATATATAATTCTTAATTTTGTATATTTAACAATATAAACTTAACTCTTTCATGATACACAAGAACATGAAAATAATGCAATATATTTGCAGCATATAGAGCATTTTTGTCAGTAATGTCATTTCAGAAGAATAGTAAATATTCTAAATTTTCTAAAAAATGTAGTATTTTAATGTTTCACAATGTGACATATAAGTTTTAGTGAACCTTTCATAAACATCCTATGTGAACTATGTGAATAAAAATTACAGAATATACTGTTTTTAAACAGAAATCATTAATATCTAATACATAAACATGGTATATTAGTATGTTGACATATTTCATCTACCAATACCTTAATCTACAGTGTACATAACATAGACAATATATGTAACATAGAGAATAATCAAGAAAAAACAAAATATTGCATAATTTTATTACAACAGATACTTAAATTTTCTAATTTCTTCATATTTCTACAGTTTAATAGTTCTATGAATTTAAACATACTTGGTCTTTGTCGGTAAAAATTATCTATATATTTTCTTCTTTCGTTTTCAAATATTGGACATTTAAAAATGTAATGAAATTCATCTCCTATATCTCTACAAAGAGTGCATTTACGATCGTTTATGGGTATGTTTTGCCAACGTCCCGTTTCAATTGGAAGTCGATGGTTCCTTGTTAAAAACATAAAAAATTTCCTAGCAAAATACAGAGGTAATGTGTCTATGTAAGCGCTTCTACAAAAGTTTTCTTTTATATATTTATACAAATTTGAGTCTGACGTATTGTTAATTTCAGCTCTCCAGCTTTGAATATAGATATCTTTTAACTTTTGAAAGTTTGCTTTAATAAGCCATTTACTACTGCTAAAACATTGAGCATACCATATTCCAGAAAAACCTGTCTCACATAAATATTGTTTAACATTTTCTATCCAGAGTGACTTAACTAAATAATTATTTTGTAGTTCCCTTAAAACAATATACAACTTAGATGATAGTTTTTTGTTTCATTACTATTTATATTATCAATAAGTATTGTCCAGTATGGTACAACCCTATGTTTAATATGAATTTTTAAAGGAAAAATGCCTGTCTCTCCGTACACCATATAAGACTGTGTAGACTTTTGAAATTAAAAATATATTTGTAAAACTTCAGTTGAACTTTTTCGAAAACAGAAACATCGCCAAATCCCCGAATTTCACTTCCATAAAATTAAATTGGTTTGATTGTCTTTTCAAATAGTTCAATTTGTAAATCAAATGGTACAGCTCACAATTTAAGTTTCCTTAACAATGCAAACATAGCTTTATTTGCTTGTTCTGCAATTTTTTAGATTTATAAAAAGAGCCACTTTTATTAATGTATATACCTAAATATTTGTACTCATTTACAACTGCAAGAACGTTTTCTCGTATTGTAAACACGTAACAACTTTTAGAACGGCCTTTACTGAAAATCATAATTTTTGTTTTGTTTACATTAATGTTTAATTTCCATTGATCGCAGTATTCTTTGAATTTATTTAAAGCAATTTGAAGATCTTCTTCATTATCACTGAATATGACGGTGTCGTCAGCGTAAAGTAAAATAAAAAGTTTCAAATAAACCCGCACCCCTTCAACAAAAGCTTCTCTAGAAACTCCATTTACACCACTACTATTAAGATAGCTTTCAAGGTCATTCAAGAAAACTGAGAATAAAAAAGGAGACATGTTTTCCCCTTGACGTACCCCAACAAGACAGTCGAAAAAAGGCGTACATCCTTCAGAAGTTACCACTCGCGATTTAATGTTATTATAAAGACTTTTAATGACATTAAAACATTTTCCATTTATATTATTTTGTCTCAATTTTTGCCATAATCCAACCCTCCACACGGAATCAAAGGCCTGTTTAAAATCAACGAAACAACAATAAAGTTTTTTCCTATTGGATTGTACAATATCGAAAAACACTATATTGATCTTACCAGTGTTATCCTTATTCAAAAATTTAATTGTATTCGACGTTATTTCATCGATATGGATGTGTTTGATTTAATGTAAGAAACACCAGTAAAAGAAAATTATTATATCACATCGGTTACTGATAAAAAAATGTAATTTTCAGTTATTCATAAATTTTATAAATTATAAAATAACCACTTGAAAACGCCTCCCTTCATTGAATTAATAATATACATACTTGTGTACAATGTTTCTTGTATAATTGTTTTACGACGTATAGACAATTTCTCGGGAAACTAGTGGTCACATTTACATTGCTTATTTATAAAAATGATCAACACACTTTATCGGCAGTTTGATTTTAAAAATCAGAATGTAATAGCCTCTGATCTGATTGAATTAATACCTCGAGTAATTTAGTTTACTAATCACTTTAAGAAAACTTATAATATACGTGTAAAATAAAGTAAAAATAAATAAAATAGATAAAAATAAATATAAAAAAATGTATTGATTAAACATTCTCTTTTTTGCCATTCGTATAAATGTCATTATCCGGGGACAAAACATTACCATATTGACCTGGAGCAGCTTTATTCACAGTCCAACCTCGATTATACGAATTGCGGGGCATTGAAAATTTACTTCAAACAATCGAAGGGTTCGAATAATCGAAGTCCAAATATTGTGATAGACGACAACTTCTCAATATTGACCATACTACCTTGATAATACCCCATGCTTGATAATTACATGTCAGCCTTTTTCGAAGATATTTACCATTATCAATACAAATATATGTATTCTTTTCGTTATGTTACTGTGCAAATTACATTAGTATTTTCTCTAATGCAACATCATGTATTATCTAAAGAAATATTATATTTCATGTCCACCTGTATTTTTCTTTCATTTTTTTTATTTTAATTTGCTATAATTATGTATAAACTGAATTGCAATAAAAAATTGAATTGAAATTGTTTTATCTAATTGTAAATGCTTTTTCATTGTAAGCTGATATTGTAAGCAGCAAATCATGTTTAGTTGGGTTTTTTTCACACTCTTCTCAAATAATAATCACCCCTTGACTAGTTAGTTGTCAGATTTGGTGCTCTCATTTCTGGATGATGTATTGAGGTCGGGAGTTCAAAGCCATTGGTTTGTCAAAAACTGATTGGAACATTCATTGTGCGATTCAAATTGAGATACAAAAGATTAGGGTTTGTAATTATTTTGATAAGAAACAGATGGTTTCCACAAGAAATCAATAAGAATATGATGGTCAGTTGATCATTTAGCTAGAAACCATTTCTAATAGTTACAACACAAAAACCAAACAACATTTCACTAGAGGTTTAAGTATAAAAGACCGCTTTATTTATCTGAAAGGGCATTTTGTATCTGATAATATGTTTATGTCGTATTTTGTATGTGCACCTGTTTGTCCCTTGTTTGCGTTATCAGAAG